TGCGCTACTTGTGCAGTACGTCGGGCATGGGGCTAGTGCTTGGAGGGCGCAGTCCAGTGGTCCTCACTGGGCATGCAGACGCTTCTTGGGCTGACGACCAGGCTACGCAGCGGTCGTCACAGGGTTACACCTTCAGCCTTGGTTCCGGCTCTGTCTCGTGGCGGGCTACTCGCTCGTCTTCTGTTCTCGGCTCCAGTTGTGAGGCTGAGATCTACGCTCGGGCCATGGCTGCACAGGAGCTTCGCTGGCTCACCTACCTGCTGACTAACCTCGGAGAGCCGCCTCGTTCTCCTCCAGTACTGTACGTAGACAACAAGGCCATGCTGGCCTTGTGTCGAGAGCAGAGACTGGAGCACAGAACAAAGCACATTGCTCTCCGCTACTTCATTGCTCGTGAGCTACAGCAGCGTGGACTGTTGCGGCTTGCGTACGTGGCCTTTGAGGCCAACACCGCTGATGTTTTCACCAAGGCACTTCCGCCTTGTGATCATCAGTGCTTCTGCACTCAGTTGGGTTTTGTCCCTGTCTTGCCTCACTTGCTCACCTCTTAACCTTGCTTGTACTGTTACATATATATACCTGCTCTTTCTTGTCTAGCCTTATATATTTATGTACTCCTGCATGTGAACTGGCCTTGTGGCCTTGTACTTGTGCTCGGAATGTGTGGTGACTTTGTGATCCACCCTGAGCTTTCCTCTGTTTTGCTTTGCTTGACTGGTCTTATGACCCCCTGTTCTCCCCCACTTTGCCTATGGGGGTGTGTCAGAACATTATAGCTTATGCTTTTGTGTAGGGTGTAGTGGGGTATCTCATAGGGGGTACAACCCAATTAGGGTTAGTACTTGTACCCACTTCATTCATAGTTCACTCATTCTCGTTTCAGTTTTTCTCAACGACGCACAGCAAGGCAAGCAGCAGCATCGCGTGTGGCCCACTGTGAGCGAACAGTGCTGTCAGCAGTGGCAGGCGGGGCAGGAGAGACACCAGAGGTGAGATCGAACAGAGAGAGTCCGTCTGCCCTATCGCACTGGAGAAACAGCTAGAGGTCATCGACCCAGACCTCAAAGTCAACGGCACGGCCCTTAGCATCAAAAGTAAGGACACTGGGGGTAGCCATGACTGCAGTGGCCTAGCAGGAAGTGAGCTCACCAGTCCGAGGAAGGAGGGCCGGGGAGCACCGGTAGGAACAGCAGCGGCTCGACAGTAGGGCGGCTCGTCGGCTCGGCGGCTGGGCGGCTCGGCTGCTGGGCGGCTCGGCTGCTGGGCGGCTCGGCGGCAGGGCAGCTCGGCTGCTGGGCGGCTCGGCGGCAGGGCAGCTCCGGTGCTGGGCGGCTCGGCTGCTGGGCGTCTCGACGGCAGGGCGGCTCGGCTACTGGGCGGCTTGGCGGCAGGGCGGCTCGGCTACTGGGCTGCTCGGCGGCTTGGTCGGTGGGCGGCTGAGCGGTGACAGGGCCGCTAGGGGAGGGCGACGGGGCCGCAGGTGACGGCGACGGGGCCGTAGGTGGCGGCGAGGCCGCAGGTGGCGGCTGCGTGGCCGCAGGTGGCGGCGACGGGGCCGCAGGTGGTGGCGACGGGGCCGCTGGTGGCGGCGACGGGGCCGCACGTGGCGGCGACGGGGCCACAAGGGGCCTAGACGGGGCCGCGGAGGGGCCGTAAGGGGCCTAGACGGGGCTGTAGCAGGGCCGCAAGGGGCCTAGATGGGGCCGTAGCGGGGCTGCAAGGGGCCTAGACGGGGCCGCGGAGGGGCCGTAAGGGGCCTAGACGGGGTCGTAGCGGGGTCGCAAGGGGCCTAGACGGGGCCGTAAGGGGCCGGAAAGGGCGCCGCAAGGGGCCGAAAGGGGCCGCGCGAGGGCCGTAAGGGCGACGCGAGGGGCCTTAAGGGGTCGTAAGGGGCCGTAAGGGCGGCGCGAGGGGCCGTAGAGGGCGGCGCGAGGGGCCGTAACGGCGGCGCGAGGGGCCGTACGGGCGGCCAAAGGGGCCGTGAGAGGGGCCACTAAGGGCGGCTCGAAGGTAGGGAGGGCACACAGAGCGCGACTCGGGCAGGAGTGAAGCGCGCTCCGGGCAGGAAAAAAAAGTATCGTGGTGGGCCCTAGGTAGCGCTCCCACTAGGGAACCTGCTCGATACCATGACGAGAAACGAGAATGAGTGCATTAAGCAGAAAGGGGAGTACAAGTAGCAAACCCTAAAGTGTTGTACCCCATATGAACTGCCCCACTACAACCTACACAGACTATAGCATATATGCCTGACATATATATAGCCTCGTGTTGTACCCAGGTGATCATTAAATTCACATTCTCTTTTCTGAGCTCGATCCTAGATCCTCACACCGAGGGCCAGCAGGGGCCGTTGCAGCTGGTTCTGGACTCAGAAATCTCCTCCGCCTTATCGCACTCTGAAGCATCCTTGTGGCGTGACAAGCGTGACAGGTCGCGAGGACCGGGATTGCAACGCAACCCGCCACGCTTCTCACACCAAGAAGGAGCTCTCTTGGCGGCGGACGCCAGGTGCAACGCATGCTGATGGGTTGGGGGAATGGGGAGCACAGGTGCGACGATGGGGAGCACTCACCGATAGCGACCGCCCTCTCCCCCCTCACCCCCATCACTGCCCCCCTGCTCTTACTGCTCTCACCGTCCTCACTCCCCTCACCCCGTTCCCCACCCTCACCCCCCCTCACCCTCATCACCCCTCTCACCGATAACGAGCTTTCTCGGCGGCGGACGCCCGGTGCGGAGCATGCTGGTGGGTGCGGGCAGCGGTAAGCACGTTTGCGACAATTTCCTGTCCTACCATGCGGAAGTCTCAGGAGTCAGGAGTAGCGGAAGCCGCAGCCGTGGCGGAAGCTCCAGGGGTGGCGGAAGTCTCAGGAGTAGCGGAAGTTGTAGGCGTGGGGGAAGCCGTGGGCGTGGCGGAAGCTGCGGGGGATGGCGGAAACCGCAGGCATGGCGGGGAGAGCGAGCGGCGACGGAGGATGTAACGGCAGGCAATGGTAACGGATTGAACTGAAGACTGTGAAGCTAGCGATTTGGCGTGAGCGGAAACGAACGCGCCGTTCGAAATTTGACGGTCGGAAATGCACGGGACGAGGGGTCTGATGGCCGGAATCCCCGCTGAAACGAGGCAGCGGGAAGGAAGGAGAGCGGTACTCGATGAATTTGCATTATTTCCAGGTGATTACCATCGCGTGACCAAGAACGAGTGCGCCGCGCGATGGATTTGCACAATGCCGCACGTCGAGTGTTGGGCTGGATTCGCTATTACCGTTGAACGCGGAAAGTGTTCACTTCTTGGTGTACCGTTGGTCGTATAGTCTGTCATAATGGTTCATAAACTCATTGTCCGCTGGTGGTGGTCTTCACGGAAAATGCGGAAGTGCTTGATGTCAATAGACAGTACCATGGTAATTTCGAGAACCCCCACACCACGTCCTAAACCAAGCAACCTGGGCACGAGAGAAAAGACAACAGCGCACGAAGGATGCATGTGGGATTAAAAAAAAAGGCGGGTTTACACGTGGGGTTCGCGTTGATGTCAGATCAGTATAGGAACAATTGAGGAGCACCAACTTTTGAATAAGACGGCACAAAGCTAAAATTTTGTTTTTTGTTCACTCTAGGTTGAGACTATTTTATAGCTGAGATGAAACATTTCCGACACCGCAGTTCATCACACGTTTCGCAAATACTGCTTTTACAGAATCAGGAAGGTTCCATCAAACAGTAGCGTTCCAAATGCACTGAGATAAGAGATGTTGCAGCGGAAGGGACTCTGATTTATGGCGTTTCCTCCAGAAGCATTACCAACACACCTCGTGAACACATCAAGTGCATCCGAACAAAAGGTCCGTAGAGACTTCGCATGATACGACACCGATATGGCAGGCTAATGCGGCGTCGAAAGCATGCTCGTAGAACTGCGAATGCATTAGGCGGTGGCATTTCAGCCGATTGACCTATACGCGATTGGGAAACACCAGAAAATGGTGAGAAAGCGAAGTGGTACCTACAGCGGCTCGAAACGGAGACGGTTCGGCAGTGCTTCTGCCCGAACTGACTTGATCAGTCGGTAGTTTTTCTAGGTGGAAAATATTCCAGCCCGAGTGGCTCGGAGAATGGCGGGGAAGCGAACGAGCGGACCCGACGGCGGCTTGAAACGGAGACGGGTCGGCAGTGCTTCTGGACGAACTCCCGTGTTCATTCGGAGGGGTCTCGATAGTGAAAAGGTTGTTACGATGTGCTGTTTTCGACCAGCCGTTCTTGTAGCGTTTCTGCTTGTATCGGGGCTGCTCTTATTGGGACGATTCGCTACTGTAGAAGCGACGGGAGGAGGCGGCGAAATGAGGCGAAGTTTGGCGAGGAAAGGTCTGAAGGCTTCGGATACTGTGTCGTCGTCATCGCCTGCTCTCTCCGCCACAGCAGCATTAGTAGCAGCGGCCAAGACTACAGCGGCAGCAACAGTAGCAGCGGCGGCGGCGGCGGCGACAGCGGCCAAACCCACAGCAGCAGCAACAATAGCAGCAGTAGCAACTACGGCCAAGACCACAACAGCAGCAGCAGGAGCGGTGGCTGCAGCAGCTGGAAAACCAAGCGACGGCGTATTTGGTGTGATTATCAGCAGCAGTGCAAGCAGTGGCAGTGGCGGTAACAGCAGCAACACCAGCAGCAGCAGCAGCCATAGCGACAGCTCTCAAAACGAAGGCCAGATGAACCGATCCCAAGGCCAGCAGCAAAACCCCCAGCACCCTCAGCAATCCCAGCACCACCTGCTGCAGGCTCTGGAATCGTACGGTCTCGACATCATCGACCTGAACCCCCACGATTCCCGCCACGTCACTGCTTCCATACCCGTTATGGCTCCATCCGTTATAGGCACAGGTCGGTACAATCACTTCCAGGCAGCAGATTCCGCAGCAGCAGCAGGAGGAGCGGGAGCAGATACCACCAACGGCGGCGCAGGCGTTACATTGGGCGTTACATCTCACTCGGGCGTAACATCTATGTCGCTAGACTCGCCCCCACCGCACGCCCAATGGCACGTCGCCAGCTGTCAGTCCCCCCCCACGTGTCCCCGCATGGCCCCCTGCCTCGGTTCTCCAGGTCTGCAGCCGCCAGGGCTGGGGGAAGATCAGGGGGAGGGAGATGGTGGGGATGGGGAGACAGGGGAAGCGGGGGAGGGGTGGCTGGAGGAGGGCAGCAGCAGCGGTGACAGGGGGAGTGAGGGGAAAGGCAGGGGAGGGGGCGTGTGGGTGTGCGAGAACCCACAATATGTGGATCTGGTGGGGGTGGGGGGGGGAGCGGGGGGAATCGGGGGAAGCAGCGGGGGAGGCGGGGGAGTGCAGTGGGCGGAGTGGGCGGGGAGGGTGCATGAGCTGGCAGGCGTGTTTGTGAGTGGTGAGGGGCGGGTGTTCAACTCAACCCACGTGTTCCATGCCAATGGCTGCCACGGGCTCACCCAGGTGAGACGCGCGTGATGGGCCGTGCCGTGTGTACTACCAGGCTAAGGAAGGGACTCACTTTCTTCCTGTCTCTGGTCTCTGCCTCTGGTTACCACGTAATGATAGGTGAGCGCGGGGGGAGGGGGGGGAAGAAGCAAGGGGGTGTTCAATGCGACCCATGTGCACCATGCCAATGGTTGCCATGGGCTCATTCAACCCAGGTGAGGCACATGGTGGGCTTGCACTGAGGGTTACCAACTGAACTCGTGACCGGCGAGGCGAGGGTCAAGGTGTTTTTGGAATTCTAGAAAGCTGGTGAGCTGGTGAGCTGGTGAGCGGGCCAGGCGTTCAGCGCCTCTGCCCTCGTTAAGAGGTGATGCTTGATCTTGTCAATATCCACTCTTCACCCTCTTTCTCTTGCTCTCCCTTCCTTCCCCCCTTCCCACCTACCCCCGACTTCCCTATTCCCCTTCTTCCCACTGTGCCTTCCCGCTTCCTCCCTCCCTCCCTCCCTCCCTCCCTCCCTCCCTCCCTCCCTCCCTCCCTCCCTCCCTCCCTCCCTCCCTCCCTCCCTCCCTCCCTCCCTCGCTCCCCCCCTCTCCCTCCCTCCCTCCAAGCACGGTAGGTCTTCTACCCTTTCGGCACCCGGGTAACCATCCACGATACCCTCGTCAATCTCCTCGTCCCCAGAGGCCACGTGGCAGCTGCTGACGTGGCAGTCAGCAGAGACAGGAGCGGGGCAACGGTGTTACAACTGGCACCGCTGCTGCTGCAAGTGGCGCCGTTTCTGAGAGAGAATCCGGAGTTGCCGCTGCTGCTGGGGCAGGCACGGGTGAGTTGTACTGAGAGAAAATGGGAAATGCCTCCGCTGCTGCTGCTGGGGCAGGCACGGGTGAGTGCAGCGCAGTCCGTTTTCTAAGAACCTCAGAACGATGCTACGAGAAACAGGTTTGGGTTAGTGACACCACTTACCCGTGCCTGTCCCAGCAGCACAGGTTAGTGATGCCTCTGCTGCTGGGACAGGCACGGGTAAGTGGTGTCAGTTCTAGTGGCGTCTCAGAAATCGGGTATGAGAGTGAGAGAGTAGGGGGAAATGCCTCCATTGCTGCTGAAGCAGGCTAGGGTAAGCGCAGTGTGGCTTTGCCGCGCCTCGACAACAGGTTCTGGGAGCGAATTCGGGGTTCCCTATGCTGCTAGGACGGAGAGGGGTACGTGCAGTGCAGTGCAGTGCAGTGCAGTGCTGTCCGTCTGTTAGGTGCGTGGAAGTGCCGCATAACGTGGCTCTGCTTCTGGGGCAGGCACGTGTGTAACTGCGATTGAGGCGCCTCACAGAGAGAGTGTAGGGACTCATCCTGGGAGTATCCAGGGACACCTTTGCTGCTGGGCGGTTTATGGGCACGTGGAGTGCACTTCTGGTACGTGGCTGCTCACACACTGATTGGTTTGGCTCTGCATACATCACACATACTCGCTCGCTTGCACCCTTCCAAGCTGACTTTTGAGTCGACCCAAAAGTCAAGACTCAAGAGTGCACTTCTGGTATGTACATACTGATTAGTTTGGCTCTGCATACATCACATATACTCGCTCGCTTGCACCCTTCCATACACACCCCTTGTATTATACAACATATTCGCACCACTGTGATCTTTCAATCACACTCCCCCCCCCCCCCCCCTCTACATTCATGCACTACCATCATATTCACATCATCCTGATCTCTCTATGCACTACCATCCCATGTACTGCTCTCCCGCCATCACACACCCTTTCTCTGTGTGTCTGTGTGTGCATGTGCGATCCGCAAACACCCCGCCTGCTCGCCTTCATCTCTCAATGCAACCATCGTGTTTCCTCCCGGCCTTATCTCTTCGTGTTTTTGTGATCTTCCCCGCAGCTCCCTCGCCTGCTCGCCTCTGCATCTCTCAATGCAACCATCGTCGCGCCTCCTGCTGCTGACGAGCTCTTCTTTGTCAGGCGCCTCATTCAGGTGATTCCTCAGGTGACTCAGGTGATTCCAGTGGTGACTGAGGTAATTCTTTACATGACTCAGGTGATTTTTCAGACAGGGTAATCCATAAAGTTCTCAATTCTGCCCCCCCCCCTTATGGTCCCCATTCCCCTTCCCTCCATCTACGTTCCCCCGCACCCTACCGTTCACAGCCCTACTCTAACCCCCCTTCCCCCAGCCCACCCAGCAGCCCTAAGGGCACCTTAGCCCCTCCCTCCCACCTCCGCTCCTCCTTCCTCCAACGCAATCGCATGTCCCTTGTTGTCCTCCTCCCCATGGCCCCCATCCCCACTCCCCCTCCCCTCGTCCCCCTTTCCCCAGCCCACCCTGCACCACTGCAGGCACCTGAGGCGCTCAGTGTGGTCCCATCTCCGCTCTTCCCTCCGCAGTTCTTTTGTCCCTTCTCCTCCTCCCTATCTCTCTCACCTCCCCAGCCCACCCAGCAGCACTGTGTGCGCCTTAGCCCCTCAGTGTCATTCCATCGCCCCTCAGTGTCATTCCATCTCCCCTCAGTGTCATTCCATCTCCCCTCAGTGTCATTCCATCTCCCCTCAGTGTCATTCCATCTCCCCTCAGTGTCATTCCATCTCCCCTCAGTGTCATTCCATCTCCCCTCAGTGTCATTCCATCGCCCCTCAGTGTCATTCCATCTCCCCTCAGTGTCATTCCATCTCCCCGCCCACTTCCTACTCTCAGCCTCATCGCATGTCTTGCCCCCTGTTCACCTCCCTGCCTCTCTCGCCTCCCCCTCCACCAGCCCACCCAGCAGCACTGCGGCCGTCTGAGCCCCTCAATGTAGACCCAACCCATATCCGCTCCTCCTTCCTCCTCGAACCTTCCACCCCACATCCATGCCTTTCTCGTGTCATTAACCATATTCTATTCCTCCCCCCTCCCCCTCCCTTCCCCCAGCCCACCCAGCAGCACTGCGGCCGTCTGAGCCCCTCAGTGTGGACCCACCTTCGATCCTCCTTCCTCCTCCACCCTTCCTCTAACCACCTGCCCCTGCTTCAACCTGATTGGTCGCTGCGGCCGGCAGTGGGCGGCACATACCAGGACAAACGCAGCCACCCGGACAGTAGTGAAAAGGAGGATGACAGTAATGGTATTGGAGAGGAGAGTGGGGGGAGGGATAGGGTGGAAGGAGAGGGAGAGGAAGGGCAAGAGGGGAGTGTGAAGGGAGTGAGGGAGGAGGGGAAGGTGGTGGTGGTGGCGATGCCTCGTGGCGTCCAGATGGCGGAGTTTGATTGGCTCGTGGGTCTGCTGAGGCAGCAGTTTGGGGAGAGCAACGTCACTGTGGTGAAGAGGCTCAGATGGAAGCAAGGTACTGAGGGGTGATGAGGGGTGATGAGGGGTGATGAGGGGTGATGAGGAGTGATGAAGGGTCATCTGGTGTGCTGTATGGGGTGTTAGGGGGAAATGGATATACCTCCTGCCATGCCCTCACTCCCTCATGCCACCACTCACCTCTCCTATCTTTCCCTTTTGCCCCCTTCCGTTTTCCCCCCCTTCTTTTCCCCCATCAGCACGCACACTCCTCCCCCGCACTTCCCTCCTCGTCTCCCTCCCCCTACCCTCCCTCCTCCCCCTCCTCATATACTCTCGCCCCAACTCCTCCCTCCTCCTCCTCCAACCCCCAACTGGTCTCTCACTCTCTCACTCTCTCCCCTCCTCCTCCTCCTCGTCCTCCCCTGCTCACTCAAAGGATGATTCCTTGCCTGCCCAGCCGCTTCTCTCCAACCCCTTGCCCGACCCGTTCCTTTCGTCTTCTTCCATCATCCAATCCCTGAGTGCCACGTGTCACCTGCACGTCGTCTCTGTGCCGTCCGAGCGGCTGAATTTCAAACCTCTGCCGAAGCTGTGGCTCGTCACCGAGCCTGAGGCTCGGGAGGATGGGGAAATGGATCTAGGAGATTCCCAAGGAGGAGGATCGGCAGTAGGTGCGGAGGGGGGGGGGGTTGGGGAAGGACGCTGTTGGAGATGCCGATGAGAGGAGGGAAAATGGTGATGAGAATAGTGATGATGCTGATTGGGGAGAGGAAGCGGAGGAAGAGAGGGAAGAAGAGACCAAGTCTATGCAGGTACAAGGGAAGCGTGAAGAAGCGGAGGAGGAGAGAGGAGAGAAAGAGGAGGATGTGGGAGGGATCCGGATTACCTGGAGCAGAGAGGACCTGGGAGAGGCTGTATCTGAGGCATGCCTTCACCTGGGCTTGGATTGTCTTCGGCTTGGAAGCAGAGGAGCAGCAGAAGAGCGAGTGAGTGAAGCAGAGAGGAAGAAAAGGGAGAGGCTGGAGAAGCGATTGCGGAGGCGGGAGGCTGAGGCCTGGAAGGTTCCTGGAAGCTGGCTGCGGCGCCGGCGCGATGTGCGGGTGTTTGAGCGGTGGCTTGAGTGCATCAGCCGCGAGGGAAACTGGGTGTATAACCCAACTCCGAGGGTTTTACCCTGGGAATATCCCGGGTTCATGAACTTATGCGATCACAGGCAAGCGGATGAGGGAGTGGGGGTGTCCGGTATAAAAGCGGATGAGATTGTAAGGAGGGGCGGGAGCGAGGAGGAGTGGACAGTAAGAGAATCGCTCAAGTACGAATGGAGAACTCCACCTGGCAAATGCCCATTGGGCGGCTTAAAACCTTTTGACGGAGCTGCGTTTTGCAAGCGGGCAAGGGAGGAGAGAGGGACTTTTAACATTGTGTTTCTCGGGGATTCCCTGACCTTCCAAATGGCTGGGAGTTTCTTGAACGGTCTGCTTCGGCACGTCGCCAAGCCTGCGTCCTGGGCTGTGGACGAATTTGAACCTAAGCAGTGCGTGGACTGGCTCCTTGGGAGAGGAGGGGCAGAATCAGGAGGAGGAGGGGTGAGTGAGGATGGTTCCAGGAAGCCGCGCCGTGCTGCTCGCTGGAGGAATTTAAGAAGTAGGGATGGTAGTACTCGTGCTATTACAGGAGCTGCTAATATCGGGGATGAAGAGGTGGCGGAAGGAGAAGAGGAAGGAGAGGAGGAAGAGGGGGAGGAGGGGGATCGGGGTTCCGCTCCCGTGGTGGTGACACCACATCCGTTCTGCAAGGTCTATGTGTTTCACGAGAATGTGTGTCCGGGGGTAAAAATTCATGTGATTCGCAACGACCACCTTTATATCCAGGACCCTGATTTAGCCAGCCCCGGTGACGGCAGCAGCACCACCAGCAGCAGCAACGGGAGTGCGACAGGTGGCAGCGTGCCATTTGATCACATGCCGTGGCACTTGTATGACGGTTTGGTGAGTGCTGATGTGGTGGTAGTTAACCGAGGCGCACATTATGTCGGCGGGAGGGATTTTGAGCTCTCGGTGCGGGCTGCCATGAGGCTGCTTCGCAGGAAGCTTCCTCGCGCCCTTCTTGTCTACAGGAATTCGCCGCCCGGCCATGTCAACTGCTCATCATACGACCGGCCAATCAAAATTCGGCAGGATCCGGCGACGTTGCCGTTCCACTGGGATACGTTTTCGTCGCAAAATGATATTGCGAGGGAGATAGCGGAGGAGGTGAAAGCAGTGTACATGGATGTTGATACAATGACGGCGCTTAGACCAGATGGCCATAAGGGGTATGTGAAGGAGAGGGGGATAACGGATTGTCTTCATTATTGTACACCGGGTCCTGTTGATACGTGGGTTGAGATTCTAGGAAACATTATAGCTCATGGAGTGTTTAATGAAGGCTTTGAAAAGTAAGAAGCATATTGTTGTGATGTGACATTTCATTCTGGTCAGTCTCAATATTAAGCTAGCTAAGTTTAAAACGAAACGGTGCTTTTTAATCCGAGGCCATCCGACTCCGTGGTCCGCATTCAAGGAACGAACACGTTACGCCAGATCGTCGTGTCGAGGTCGTTCCATTCCTGTGCCGTCTTGGTCGCAACCGCGTGTTGCTTGTACACGTACCTCCCTCAATCGTCCTGAGCGTTGCATCAGGTTATGGGACTGTTGCAGAAACTGCGTCTAAACACGCCTTCCCGGAGATTCTTCATTTCATCCTTAGCCGTTTTCAACCATTGCTGGGTTGGCTGGTTGGTGGGCCTCGAGAAGAGACTACCATACCATCGTAGTGTCAGCAGTGCACATCACACAGTTACGCATTCCCCTGAAAGTGGTAACGATGACGAGCGGACCATGACCAGAGGAACGCCAAAACGTATGTAAACTCCGCGTTTCGCGAGAATATCGAATCCAGCACTCAACGTGCACTGTGCAAATGCTTCGCACGGCGCAACCCACGCTCAGAATAGGGTGAATTCGTCGTGCAAGCGCTTTTTCCTTTCTTCCCGCTTCCCGGCGTTACTACTTCCGGCCGTCAAGCCTCTCATCTTCTGCATTTCCAACCGTCAAATTTCCAAACGGCCCGTCCATTTCAGGAGTCTTCAGTTAGTAGACTTATCTCCTGTTGAAATTAGCTGGTTTCGGACTGCAGCAAGAGTCTACGAAGGATCTACTAAAATGAAAAAAGCGTTGGAAGTCGTTAGCAAAGGTCTTTTAGTCAGAACGCCAGACACATAGGCCCAGATGTCGCGTGCGAACGCGTTTCGGCCAGCAAAGGCCTTCATCAGGCCTTCCTCAAAGCGCTAGCTTCAGGAGTCTTCAGTTGTTCGACTCATTTCCACTGCCTGTCGTCGCATCCGCCGTCGCCGCTCGCTCTTCCCGTCACGCCCGCAACCTTCGTTGTTGGCGTCGCATCCTCCATCGCCGTGCGTTCTCCCCACCAAGCCCGCGGCTTCCGCCATGCCCGCAGCTTCCCCCTACGCTAGAGATTTCCGCGCGACGGAAAATAAATTCGTTGCGGGCGTTCTCTCCGATCCCCCCATCACCATGCTTCGCACAGCGCATTCACCGCCGAGGGGACTCGTTACTGGTGAGGAGGGTGCGGGGAGTGAGGGGGATGAGGGGGGCGAGGGGGGTGCGGGGGATGAGGGGGGTGAGGGGGGTGCGGGGAGTGGTGGGGGTGAGGGGGGGTGAGAGGGTGAGGGCAATGAAGGCCCTGCTTGGTCCAATGTTACATTGACGAAGCAAGATCAAGCTGGGATGGGAACGACACTGCAGTGCTGGACCTAAGTTGTTGCTCACGTCGCCATCCCCTGTGTCATCGCTCTCAGCCCACCTTTCCCTGTTTCATCATTTTTCTGTTCCACCATTCCCTCTTCCATCGTCCTTATGTCGACCCTGTCTCCCTGCCGTGTTTCTTTCTGTGCTAAGACACGAAAGACACTCAAGCTCTTTTTCTCACCGTCCGTTGTGCTGTGCCTCCCACCCCTGTCCTCCCCGTTGTCACCATTCCCTGTTCCTTCATCCTTGGTGTCAACCCTGTCTCCTTGCAGTGCTTCTCTGGGCGCTGCAACTTGCCACACTGCTTCGGCCCGCTGCTGCTGTTACAAGTATGTCCTCGTTCGTTACTACAAGCAGATGCGGTGTCTGTTAGGGGCCTATGCTCTTCAAGTTCTGCCACTGTTTCAATACAAGACGACTGCTCTGGTCGGTTCTTTTGTGCTGGATCTGCTCCCTCTCTTCATTTCTTGATTCCGCCCGTACTCACTCTGCCTTCCCTTTTCCTCTCACTCTCCTCGCACCTGCCTCACCAACCTACTTTTGCCTCTTGCTACACCCACCTCAACCTCACCAAATCCCCCACTTCCCCTTTTTCTTGCACCCGTCTCACCTTTGCCCCCACCCACCTGCCTTATGAGTCGACTAAATAACCAACCCACCTTTTTCTCTTGCAGCGCCCATCTCCCCCTCACCTACCCCACTGTCCCTTGCTTGAACCCGTCTCTCACCCCTACTACCATGCTGGAGCATCGCCCCCACCAGCATCGTGCTTTCAGCGCTGGAGCATCGACCCCACCAGCATCGTGCTTTCAGCGCTGGAGCATCGCCCCCACCAGCATCGTGCTTTCTCTACCCTCTCACCTGCCGTCCCCTTTGCCCCATGCTCTGTCTCTCGCCTTGCCCTTGCACCCTTTCTCTCGCCTTGCCCCTTGCCCCCTTTCTCTCGTCAACCTCTATCCCACCTCCCACCACCCCCACCAGTGCACTACTCGTCGCTGCGCTCGAAAATCGCCCCCACCAGCGTGGTGCTTTCAATCCCTCAATAAGTATCCCCCCATTGCTTCTTGCACCTCTGTCTCCCGTGCCCCTGCCTTTTCACCACCAGCGCACTACTCGTCGCTGCGGTGGAGAATCGCTCCCACCAGCGTGGTGCCAGCCACCACAGGCACCTTCGCCCTCACTGTTGACACCCCAGACAGGTACAGTGGGTAGGCTGTAGCTGTGCTAGTGTGCTCTGAGTCGACTAGAAACCCACCAGCGTGGTGCCAGCCAGCCACCACAGGCATCTTCGCTCTCACTGTTAACACGCCAGACAGGTGCGTAAGGAAGAGGAGACAGTACGGTCCGTGCTCAAGCTCAGGTGTGCTTTGAGTCGACTGGACACCCACCAGCGTGATGCCAGCCAGCCACCACAGGCACATTCGCTCTCACTGTTGACACGCATGGCATACAATCAGTGCTCCCCCTTTTCTTTCGGTTTCCTCATTACTCATTGCTGTTTCCTCTTTCCACTTTCCTCGCTTTCCATTCCTGTTTCCTCCTTCCTCCTTTCCCATGCCCCCCTGCCAGCTCGCCATCCTCTCAGCCTCACTCCATCGCCTACACTCTCATCTCATTGCACACTCACACTGAGAGCCCTACTCTCTACTTTCCTTCGTCTTCCATTCCATCCTTTTTTTCTCCCTTGTCTCTCTGCCAGCCCACCATCCTCTCAGCCCCAGTCCATCGCCTACAGTCTCACAGCACGCACTCAGAGCTCTGCTCTCTACAGTGTCGTTCTCTACAAGAACGTACCTCTAGGTGGTGAAAGCTCCTCCTCCTCCTCCTCCTCCTCCTCCTCCTCCTCCTCCTCCTCCTCCTCCTCCTCCTCCTCCTCCTCCGAAGCAGCAGCATTTCTCCCACAAGTGGAGCCCACAAAAGGAGGCAGGAGAGGAGGAGGAAGCAGGGGAGGAGACAAGGGCAAAGGGACAGGGAGTGACAGCAACAGAGGTGGCAACAGGCCATCTCTGGTCAAGGACCCAGCTGCAATAGTGGATTCTCTTCGAACACGCCTTAAGCTCAAACCCAAGGGCAATGCCAAGCCATCCCCTAAGCCCAGCGCTGTACCAAGGCGTGAAGGTTTAAAGGCAGGTGGAGGTGGGGTTGTGAGTGGGGCTGGTGTGGTGGAAGCAGGAGGAATGGAGGATGTTGCAGAAATAGATAATTCTGGTGCAAGCAGCAGCAGCAGCAGCAGCAGCAGCAGCAGCAGCAGCAGCAGCAGCAGCAGCAGCAGCAGCAGCAGCATGAAGAGTAGTGATGTGGTGAGGTTATTTCTGCCCTGCCCGTGGCAGTCTGTGAATGATGGGACTGGTGAGTGGACCTGTTCGGGCAGCCTTGACCTTTCCACAATCTCCTCCAACACAGGCGATGCAGCAGGATCAGGGGAAGCTTCCCCCAGCGCTGATGCAGCAGCTTGGGGAGAAATATTGGAAGACCCTACTGTAGCTCTGTTTGGAGTGTACATGCAGGCGGGTTTGTGCCAGGGTCAGCCTGATATATTTGGTGTGTTACTGAAAGATGCTACACCAGGCGAGGGTGGTGGCTGAGAAATTTTTGTGGATCATGTTGCTGGTAGTGTACAATAGTGTACCATATTATGTCATTGTGCCTTTACAGTGATCAGTGTGGACTGCTAACTATGTCTTGTATTAAAATGCAGGCATAATGTGGGCTGTAGTTGTGCAATTCCCGCGCTCAGAAAAGCATTTACTGAAAGACTTCAACCTGTTATAGCGTTGTTTTCCTATATCCCATTTAGAGTTTCCTTTGGTAGGGGCCGCGCGAACGCGAGCCCCCGCTGCCACAAATAATGACGTGCATCACCGGGAGTTCCAGCGTGCTAGGAGTAGGGCCGGCCGAAGTGCAATGGCGGGCCCACCCCTAGGCCATCGGCCTTCGTGATCACCGATAGACCCCGCCCAGGTAAGTATACCTCATCAAGATCAAGAATCCATTATTATTGTGACTGGTTGGATGCGTTTGTTTTTGCTTGGTGGGACTTCACTGCCACGTTTGCACTCAGCTGTGTGTGCGGGGCTGCCAAGTACCCCAGGTTCATTCGAATTCTTCGAATTGAGTTTCGAACCAAACCAAAATTCACCCCACCCTCACAGAAAACACTCTCATTGTGATTCCTTCTTTCTCGCGAACCCCTAGGCTCCACTCCACGCCACATCTAACCTAATTGCGATGCCTGCGCTGATTGCGCTAATTGCGCTGATTGGATTTGCTTCTGCCGAATCACTCTCGCCAATGCCCCGACAGGTTTCCATTCACTAGTACTTTCGCAGAAGCCCAGATTAAGTCCACTCAAGTAGCCGACGGGAAAGGAGAGATAGTTTTTTTGTCGCGACTGATGAAAGGAACACCGTCTCATGCGGAAAGACCGAAGGGCTGTTGCATCGCAGATAGTCGTTAACGTTACGACCCGTACGTTGCGTTAGCGCACGGGTTAACTTTTCAGTACTGGCTGACAGATTTGAGCGTTGTCGCGTCGGTGATTCTCGTCGTCAAAGTTCCGTTGCGTTAGGGCACTGGTTAACTTTCCAGTGCTGACTGACAGATTGTTAGGTCGTCGCATCACATATTCTCGCCGCTAACGTTACCCAGACGTTGCGCGAACGCAACATTAACGTTACCGTTAGCAACGTCAGCACCCTAGGTCACGGCAAGTTCAGTGGAGAATGTTCAGTGCTAGCTGGCAGTGTCGAGGGTTGCTCGTCCTGAGGCGCCTCAAATTCAGACTTTCAGTAGCTGACGGAGTCGAGGAGGTGCCAGCGTGCGTATGCGATCGTCTGTCAGCTCTAGTGAATTGAAGTTCAGTGGGGATTCTTCAATAGCTGGCAGTGTCGAGGGTTGCTAGTGCTGCTGAGGCGCCTCAAAGTCAGACTTTCAGTAGCTGACGGAGTCAAGGGGTGCCAGCGTGCGTTTTTTTAGTCGACTCAAAAACTGTTCAGTGCTAGCTGACAGAGTCGAAAGTTCCCAGCGGGAGTATGCGATCGTCTGTTACACCTAGTAACGTCACCCTGAGGTCACGGTAAGTTCAGTGGGGATTCTTCGGTAGCTGACAGATTCGAGGGTTGATAGTTTCGAGGCGCCTCAAAGCCAGACCTTTAAGTAGCTGACAAAGTCGAGGGGTGCCAGCGTGTGTATGCAATCGTCTGTTAGACCTTGTAACGTCACCCTGAGGTCACAGTAAGTTCAGCGGGGATTTCCAGTACTAGCTGGCAGATTCAGGGTTGCAAGCGCTGAGGCACCTCACAGTCAGACTTTCAATAACTGACTAGCGTGTGTATGCGATCGTCTGTTAGACCTAGTAACGCCACCCTGAGGTCACAGTAAGTTCAGCGGGGATTTCCAGTACTAGCTGGCAGATTCAGGGTTGCAAGCGCTGAGGCACCTCACAGTCAGACTTTCAATAACTGACTAGCGTGTGTATGCGATCGTCTGTTAGACCTTGTAACGCCACCCTGAGGTCACAGTAAGTTCAGCGGGGATTTCCAGTACTAGCTGGCAGATTCAGGGTTGCAAGCGAGTGTACGCGATCGCCAGTTGGCCTTAGTAACGCCACTCTAAGATTGCGGAAGTTTAGTGCAGATTCTCCAGTGGCTGACAGAGTCGAGAGTTTCAAGCGTGTGTATGCGATCGTCTGTCATGCCGTGTACCGCGGTGTGCTCTGTAGAAGAGCTGTTTCACTTACCATTCCTTCTGTTTTTCTTCCTTTTCCTTATAATTTATCTAAACGGGTTGTTTGTGACAGCTAGGGCCTGTGAGGATGCTAGGTGCTGAGCTGTGGTAGGCGTCCTTTGATGAAATATGGCGTCTTTTGCATTTTTGCAAAAACACACGTGATAAGGCCGTGGTGGTGTGGGATT